AGTCCGATTTATCGATTAATGATATGCATAATTAAACTACTACACACACACAGGAACCAAACCAGAAATTTCGAGTTACTCGTAGAATTTGTTAGATAGGTAAGGAATTTTAATAATTGAACAAAACATACAGGTATATTTTCAGTAGTATTTATATATAGCCCAGTCTTACAAAAAAGTGACCGCATCGTTCCAAGGGACGGGCAAACATTGCTCATTTGCTTTAAAACTAACAATCGGTGTGCTGTCAGTTCAAGGTTTTTCATTTCACTGAGAAAGTAGGTATATATAATTACGGTATAATAAGCACAATGATTAGAAATTAAACTATTAAATTCAAATACAAATCCTACTTTCACTCTCCTATATTTTACTTCCATTTTTTTTTATTTATGAAAATCAAAGCGGACATGTTTCTTTTTTTTCCTGATTTATATATATATATATAATGTTATGTGACCACCTTTCAAATTGCCTCAATTGCCATTGTGGCAACGTCTCAATATTCGCAGGCCTCTCGGGACGAAGGGAACTTCAGATCGATCGCGTTTTTCTGAGCATTCTCCGAGCCCGAGTACTGGCTTAAGTTTAAAAGTAGACGAGCCATAGCTAATTTCAATCGGTGCTGATGCATAAGTGGCAATAGGCTGGGGCTGCTTGTTGGTGGCTTTTAGATGTTGAAGTCAGCAGAGATTGGCGCATCACATGGCATACTTGCGCGTCCACTCACGTGCCAATTCATTGTACTTCTCCCTGTCAGTTTTGTATAACCTTGCTATCTCTGGTACCAGAGGGTCATCTGGATTTGGATCGCACAGTAATGAGCATATTGATAGTAACACTGAAAATAAGAAAACTTTCATAATGTATTCAACATTTTCACAAATAATATTAATAAAATTGACTCAAATAATTGTTTCATCCTATTCTTTTTCTTTTTTAAACTTAAATTATATTTGCAAACTTATGTACCCTTTGATATGGTAAGTGCTGGAGACCACTGCGATCTTAAAATATCCAAACAAATACTTCCATTACTGTTGATATTTGGATGATAAATTCTAGTTGTAAAAGCAACCTGGACAAATGTGCATTAAATGAATATACTAATCACATGTAATAGTATATCAAACAATGTTATCTTTAATGTACATACCTTAGGTGGTTTGAATGGATAGTCTGTGGGAAAATGAATTGTAAGGAAAAACACTCCTCCTTGATACGGACTGTCAGGCTGAAAATAATGTTTACTCCTAGTTATACACTAACATTCAATATTGGCCAATTTAAATGCAAAAACGTTTCCATTAATGTTCATCATAAAGAACTAATTATATCTAATATAAAGAACCAGATTAATCACTCATATTAATTTAAGAATTTAACAATTATTACTAACGAATTATAATATAAATGTTATTAGAAATATTATAGGTCTGTAAAAAGATATTAATATCATGAAAACAATACAACATGATACAGGAATTAAAGATGTGAAATCTTAGTAAATTGTTATTACATAAAATATTACATGCATTGCATTATGTATTTCAAATAAAATTATTAATCAAATGTAACAAAAGATAAATTTCATTGTTTGGGAGTTACCTTTGAATGTCAGAGATCAAAGTGGAGATACTTGGAACTAATGCTTACAAATTATATTTACATGAACATTAACATGATTACAAAGTAATAAAAGTATATGATACTTTTAAATTAAATGACATTAGTTTAATTAATAGTGTTAAAAATATTAAAATTCATGTATACTTACTGGTCCCATTATAGTTGCTTGCCAGTGGAATACTGAAAACAATCATATAATTAACTGTAGAAACTTTACTTTACTATCAAATACTAATGATTATTATTTATACATAAACATCATAAGTTTACAGTTTCCTAAAAATTAGCTAATTATTTGCTGTGGATATTAATAGATACATGTATTTTTGGAATAGCAAGCCATATAAGATATGGTAATTTAATATTCTTTAATTGCTGCATATACAGTCACAATGACATTAAAGAACTTACAATCGTCTCCTACAGGACCAGCAGAGCATTGTGCCGGTGGATCTCTACCAAGGTCCTGAAGTTCCTAAATAGAAGAAAAAAATGTCATAATAACACAAACAAAAACTGTTAAAAATCTTAAGCATTAATTCAAACTTTACATATATTATTAATTGTTATATATATTTTCTTCTATGCACGATTGAAATTTATAAATACTATTTTTAACATAAATATCAGTTGGTTAAAAATATACTCTATCAATAATGTGTTTGTGTTATGCATTGCATCATGAAGCTTAAAGTAAAAGGTCTATATGGATAGTTTTAAATGCAGTAAGAAAGATGTGAACATGTGTAAACAAAATGTTCTAGAACATTCTTACATATGTATATATCATAGATACGAATTATATAAATGTAATATCTTGCAATATATAATTTTAAGCTTATATATCAATTGTTTTATAGTTTTCATATCATACATATCAAGAAATCAGATCAAACTGAATCATCATTCAAAAGGTAGATAACATTAAAAGGTTAAGATAAAGGAAATGACTATAATGGTTTGTAATACAATGAATTAAATATTACAATGCCTTAACTACTAACAATGCAATTAGAAAAGAAACAATTGGAATAAATATTATTCTATAGATATGTATGTTTATATTAGACAATGGTATACAATAATATGAGATAAATTATTCGCATTACTTATATTACATTACAATGGAAATAAATTACAGAATTGAAGTTAAAGAAAAAGAGTGATACAACAGTTTGTGTTTCGTGTGATTATTCTGAGAGTAATATATCCAATGATTTCCATTCTTTAGTCCATTTTACTGCGACTGATGGTCAGACTGAGAAACATTATAATGACTGACAGGTCAAATCACTGGCATGCATCATACAGAAATATATCAGTTCTAAATGATTCACTTTATCTCATTAATGTGTGCTGCAGTCACATAGAGAAAAGCATATTATGTATTAAAACAAATAAGCAAATGGTCACTGAAAAAAATGTATGATGATATATCTACATCCACAAATGGACTCTGAATGCACTAATGAAATTTTCGTAATTTCTGAGTTATCTATAGCTACATACATATATGTATATACGTATATATGTATATATATGTATATATAGATGTATGTAACGCACGGTTTTACGTTACTTCCGGCAATTTATTGGGTAGCCACTTAAAATTTTTTTAGAATTTCACTGTCACCGTAGCTACTACGTCCACTGGCACAAAGTGGCACTGTGCTCTGTGTGCAATGCACAACATCGACATAAACGCGTATGCAAATAAATCAAAGCACAATCGAAGAATGTGAAAAAAAGGGGAAAAGCCAAAATGATTTTCAATGCTGCCTCACATTGCTTCACTGCAAAATCGTTAAGGGCGTTCAACTGCGTTTGGCACACATCACATTAACACCCGACTGTCTTTGTACAATACGAACACCTCTGATCGTTCACATACCTTATTAATTCGTTTTAAAGCCATTTGTTGAACTGTGTGTTGATATTAACCGGCTGAAAACCAGACAGCGATACCCGCTAGCCGAAGATCTTTGATTAGGGATTGCAAGATGGCTGCCTTCTAAACGTAGTCTTACTACGGTGGTCAAACCAAAATCCGTCAACTATTCTTGCACAATTTCTTTCGCGTTGAAACAAAGCGTTCATAATCATATCAACGATTATTTTAACAGATAAATTTTATAACGTAAATATTTCAAAGGAAACCAGCACCTCCTTATTTTTTCTTACATCTTTTGTTGCAAAATTAAGTCAAAGTCTTTACGGATTTCCTTTTATCGGCAACTAGTGGATTTTTAATATTATACCATCATTTCTCGGTAGATGTCGCGATGAAAGATCTAAATGATTGGCCAATATGAATGATTAAACCGAATTCTTTTCATATATGTGTATTACATATACACGGTGTTAAAAACAAAAAAGAGATTTGAGACCAAATAATATGCAAAATAAGTGTATAATGTTCTTGGACTTGTAAACAACTTCTCATTTTGGTTAATGCAAATTACTTATTCGTTGCCGGGGCTCTTATATGACATAGAGCAGAAGATTATATTGTCATTTCTTCTTTTAAAAGAAAGAAAAATTCTTTCTATCAAACACAATAAAAAACACGTTTTTATAGTCGATTTGGTAAAATAATAATTTTTAAAAACTGATGCCTATCAATACGTTCAAGGAAAACCAATGATGACGATTTTTATAATTAATTAAATAAGGGTTTTCAAAATTTCAGAAACTATATCGTACAGCTTCGTTGGTGAATAAAATATGCAAGATTAAGTATGAATTTGATGCTTTACGAAAAGCCATCATGAAAACTCGTTTGGTGAAGTGAGGGTCTACACTCGTTGAATATGAACTACCCTCAAAACGCGGACCTCCTTTGTGGGAAGGAATAAAAATAGACTTAGGTCTTCCGGAATCCCGATATTGTGTTTCAAATGAATCACATTCGTAAAGATGATGACGAAGTTTTTTAAACAATGTACGAGGCATTATATTCTGATAAGAATATTTTTCCACATACCTACATATCTTCCTGTGACAGTAGCATTTCCTGATCAGACTAATACAATATTATTCTTATCATACTGTAGAAACTGATAATTCTCTACAGCTGTTCACAGATTGCGAGGATAAGTATAACAATTGTCTAGTGAAATGTAATAGTAATCCTGTTTTAAGATGCGTGTGTATAAATAGGAAGAGAAGAGATAATGATTCCGTTCGCCGAAGAGCACAAGAAGTGAATAAATGACTTGCAACAAGAAAAATTATTTATATCTCTAATAATACTAATTTTTCTCTTATGTTTATTGGTACTTTACTTTTTCTTTATTTTGCAAATCTCCAAAGTCCCATTTCATGAAGTTGTCTTACTACATCATTTTTGTTTCTAAAAGCAGCATCCAATAAAAATTACTTCGGCGCGATGATGTCATTTCGTAAAATTTTATTTAAAATTGAAGAACATTTAAGAAGTTCCATCATGAGTTTATAACTCGATAGATATTTGTATTACTTATTACATTGATCAGCTTCCACGAAACATTGTTCAAATTATGCGTATACAAAGTACGTTCTAGATAGTAGAACAAAACAAACCACACTGATTCGAATGATAGAGGTTAGACGAGACAGAAAATTGAAAAGTATTGTATTGTAACTCAAGTTGACCTACAATATATATCATGGCTGAAAGTAAAAGGAAGATAACAGGATGTTATTGTATTCATAAAAAATTGCATAGACCATCAAAACAGAACGAACAATGCAAAAAGAAGAGACAAACATTTGTATACAATCCAGAGGAAGATATGTACCACGAGCCATATCTGAAAGATTTACGAAAGGAATTTTCAGATGCGTCCATATTGTGCGATTCAAAGATTGAATTGCCGTGGAAGGATATCGCGTTACCATCGGCTGGCATGAAAATTCGTCAACAATCTTCAATGGCACCGTTAGGTCATACAGAGGAAGGTGATCAGGATGCTGAAAAAGAACCATCGAAAAAGGAATCTGAAAGTACCATGCCTCTTCCATGGAAGGATTTGATCATCATGGAAACAGTACCTACGAAACAGAGTGATCCTGCAAGCTGCGATTCTACGTTAGAAATTCCATGGGATGATCTTGTACTTGAAAAACCAATAGACATACAACCACTACGAGAGGAAGCTTGTGTCACCGATGACGTTGAAATTCCATGGGATGACATTTTGGTACCACGAAATATCATCATCGAGGCGCCAACAAGGAAACATCCATCTTCGAAATACCCACCTCGTACGTCGATTAAAAAAGGGACCAGAGGATGTTGTTGCACTACTGTTGAATGCAAAAAGATACCGGCAACTTCTAAATAACGCGCTAATAATAATATTAGAATAACCCGGTTTCTTAGAAAGGAATATTTCTTTATTAAGTTTGGTCTTCAAAAGAGGACGAGATTCAGCTATTGAGACATACCATTCGGGCATTTAGTTCTGAGATATAAAAATACTGTAACTTCTTAACATATTGAATACCAAAAGAAAACACTTTTGATATTGTAAAGTATTGTATTTTGATAAATTGAATATAATATACAAGTTTTATGATGTTACATCAGAATGTTACTCTGAAAATAGTACTGGTGGTACCATCTAATGGGATGTGGGGAACTAGTAAGACAAAAATATGACTTTGGTAAAATATTCAATTTGTTATTTTCATTGTCGTAATGTGGAGCGTTCTACGGACACAATACAAGTTAAATAATAATATCATAGCTAAGTTAAAACCGATCGTTGGGAATTGGTGTCTCACGATCTGAAATACCGACGTTGTTCAAAACAGTACGTTGTTTTGTTGCGCACTCTACGATTCAGAATGACTATTTTAGAAACTACATTACAAGGTGAACAGATCCATACGTAATTATATAATTAGTTTTTAAGTTCTCTGTAAATGTAGATTGTTCAAAAATAAGCTCAGTAATTTTACACACTATATGCTAAATAATTATCAAAGTAAAACTAATCTTTATTAAACATTAATAGGTATAAGTATATCATATTGTTTAGATTATAGAAAGATTGAATTCAGTACAACTTATATCGTTTATAATTTGCAAATGTAATAAAGTATTTTTTTAAATTGCTCTATTATCAAGAGATGTGTTATACGTAGTTTGAATAAACGACACCGGGTCGTATTTTGGCGTCAGTGGCACCAAACACAGCGCCGCCATGATTATTATTCGTCCGGAGTTCGTGATTGGCGGCAGTCGGCATTTGCCTGTGTACGCGGATGGTTGTTCTATTGTGTGGTAGTTCGGTTAAACCCTGCGTACCGAAAATGGCGTAGCAAGGTGGTATAATGCCATTAAATTTAGTCGTGATTAGTATACCGTGAGAAGTTATGAACAGTGCACGACCGCTTGCTACTTGACTTTTCTCGCATTTGTAACGATACCGTCCATTAAAGAGCTACGTGATATTCTCGACGGAGCGCGTTTGTCGTAATAGCAGCGTGAAAAGTGTGTTGTGTGTTGGTGACTCGTACTGTGATTTGACAACGGAAGTGTGTTCACGTTCCTCGTGACGTTTCGGAGTTTGAACGAGGTGCGCAGCGTTCGTGGAACACGCGTTATTCGATCTTTGTGTCGGGAAACTCAAGGATGGCACTTGTACTACCGAGAAAACGAGCATTTTTCCTCGTGACAGCTTGACGACCTCGACTCTAGACGAGTTCAAGATGGCGCCACCGGTATTTTGACACTTGCCCAAGATCCGTCAGCTGGATTTTACAACCGCCCCGAGCTTCGATTATTATGAGCAGAGAATTTTACGTTCCTTGTACATCTTACACTTATCAGGTAAGTGAATCATTGCTTGTCAATTTTCGTGTGAAAAACAGTGCGTTGTAATCATATCTGATGATTATTGTTTCCTGTATCGTCATACCTTCTACACAAGAACTCCAAATTGTCAATTCATTCTTCAGGGTATTTTTCTGTCGGTCATAAAATAATATTTTGCAGTTACAAATGTTTGTAATTGCAAAAGTGCATTGTTTATTATAATAATACTCCAATGAGTGTTTTTTATTTAAATATAAATATGTGTAAATATAAATATAAATATTAAATATATATATGTATAGGTGTAATTTTCAAAAAGTATAATTACACGAAACTTGAATGGAAATAACAAAATGCGTCCTTCACGTTTGATGCAAATAACACGATTTATCACGCATGTTTTCGCCGTTGCTCACCTTTCAACGTGTACCGAGTGCGTCTAACATTTACACGCGTTGAATTGGTTATGTTAGAGATATTGAAACCGAACGTGAGTGAAGGAAAACAATGAAAGTAGTGGTCGGTGAAAAATCGACGGTCGATAAAAAGCTGATAGGTTACGTCGATTTGTCCGCGTAAATTGACAAGTAACCCAAAGGCCTCCGCCTATTTTTTGCCTGCCTTCTTGTCGATTATTTGACTTTCGCTATGAGTGGCGAGTCCTCGTCGAGAATCGTATCCGGAAGTGAGGCTTCTGCGTCGAACGACGCGGAGGAATTAGGTACGCAAGGTTCCGCTAATAGAGACATTAAGAATTCGAGATCGTCCGTCGCGAGTAATATAACCAGGAAGGTGAGACCTTAGGTTTTGTTTGACGTTTGTGAAATAGAAAATCAAAAGGGAGAGATTCATTACAAACTGCAATAATTTTTTTTGCTATATAATTTCATTTCGTTTGTGTTAGATGCAAGTTATTATTCGTATAAGATATTTTCATCGTTTAGTATTATATCAAATATTAAAATAAAGAATTAAAGAGATTAGCAGATATATTTGTTTATTTAATTTAAATCTTACACGTGACTAGACATTTTGCCTTGTTTTTTTGAACGAAACCTTGTTTAGCGATCATAACGAACAGATCAGATCGAAGCTACCTAATATTGGTCGTTACCTGAAACGTTTGGGATCGAAAAACGGAGGGAGACGCAAAATCGATGAAACAGCGACTGCTGGTTCTTCAGAAGTGACCGGAGTCGTGGAGAATAGTTTAAATCGTACCGAGCTAGAAAGTTCAAGTGGTAAATCTTTATTTGTATATAATACATTTATTTTAAAAACTTATTTCCTGCTAGTGACTCGGTATCGTACATACTTTCGACTAAATACATCATGCTTCACATTAGTAGGTCAACAATATCATGAAGAGTAATGACTGATAATATATTTTAGTGCTATTAATAATAGCGTTGATACCCGATAATATTCTAATATTAAATACACTATTATTAGAGAACCTGACCTTTCAAAGATCTAATTATTCCTTAGTTTATGAATAATACTAAGAAGTCATTCTCCATATAACACGGCATTTCTTACAATACGATTTAAAAATTGGGGAAATTCCCATAGGATAACATATACAGTTATCGACTCCTGTACAATGATTGGCGGACCATGGAGAGAGACCCAAGACGGCGGACCATGCAGAGAGTCATAATTTTAATTAAATTTTCTATTTCATATTAATTTAATTGTCTAAATTTTAATTATCTTTCGTAACTCGAATACTTTTTGTTTCGAATAGAATTACAGGTATTTATATAAGAAATGCATTATATTATATTTTCTACTTTTTTAAGAAAAAGGTTAATCATTACATAGGGGTCAATAACTGTATACGTTATCCCATAAGAAGGTATTTTTATAAGACGGTTCGAAAATTGGGAAAACCCCTGTAAAATATGGCACTCTTTAACACCGTGTGAAAATTGGGGAAATCCCCGTTAATATTACAAAATTTAGGTTTCCAATACATTCCGGTATTCCTGGGATACCTGAAGTGGTGAAAGGGTATCGGCGGCTCACGCGGGGGAGGGGTTTTAGTGGGTAGAATACCATTCCTCAGAGGGGTGGTATGAGTCCTACACTGCCTGGGCCCCTTAGCCGAATAGGCGACTGAGGATCACCCATACGAACGTAAATGTACTTCCCTTCAAGCAAAAAGAAAGATGCAAATAATGGAAAAGAAACTTTGTTGTTTCCTAATATTTTACTATCAAATACACTAATGTCAATGAATGATAACACGCTCGCTGCCACATTGGTCACTGGTGACATCACGAATTTAATATTATCGAACAATTAAAGTGAGAAATGAGTAATTACAATTATAACGCATTTTACTGCACGCGACCATTTGCATTGTGCCAGCGAATGTGTCAATTATTCCAAAATTGAACGATTCAAAATGCAATGCCAATAATGTTCATGTTTACCATTATTCACATAATACTGTTCATTCGTCAGTGTCCACGATCAATGAACAGAGTATTACGGAAGACAGGGATTCGGTTAGCTGGCCAGAGACCCGTGTGGTCGAAACGATATGGCACGACACCCATGATGACTCTTCGAATTATTTCTCGGCACTCGAATCCGAAGGACCTTCAACCTCCATCGCGAATACAAGTAGTACTTTCAATTTGATTGATTATGGGGGTACGGTCAGGCAGATTGACTTATGCGGGCTCATTGATTCTCCTATCGAAATATGTACTTTTGTATAATAATTCATAGTTTACCCGTACATTGTTATCCACCTTCTATCTAGATTCTTTTTTAGTTTGTTAAAGAAATTACATTTTTTACTTTTTCTTCGATTCAGGATTTATCTTAACGATTTTATATATCTTTTTTTATTCCTAGATCATAGGAATAGTTCTTGTCATTATTGAGAGATATATTGTTAATTATTAATTAAATTATTATATATTAGAAAATATGAAAATACACTGTTTGCGTTTACTATGAATTATCAGAAATTAATTAAAAAATATTACATTAATACTCCTCTTATTTAAAGCTAGATACAATTCAATTTATTGCAATTACTTTCAAATAAAATAAGCATAATTTTCTCTTTACTTAATAGGAATCTAGCAACGTTTGAAGTATTCATTCAATTGAATTATTACAATAACTAAACAGATTCTTTCTTCTTAGATCACACAGATGGTTACATAATGCAAAGATATTAATTAGATTGCTGTGTATTTTTACAACTCGTACCCACGCGTGATATAAACATTAATTTTTAATTAATTTAATTAGCCTGATGCGGTGATAAAAATTCAATGAAACATTCGTCACGAGATAGACATATCATATGTCAGGGAATTTTTGTTTCGTCGCGTTACCATTTTTTTCTCTTACACGACACTGGAAGTCCAGTAATGTAATATTCATCGATTCGTGCGTCACGAAATTTAGTCGGGCTTCCTTGCAGGCGAATATCAGACGGGAAATCAAACCATGAGCTCGACAGCCACCACGTTAGTCGAAACCGAACCCATTCGAATGATTTCCATTTCCGTGAATACCAGCGAAGCTATGACCACAGACAGGATATTTGTCGGGGTACTGAATCGTGAAAACTCTGTAGCAAGAAATATTCTGGAATTCAGGGAAGCATTAGCCATCCCATTAGGGTAAATTCAATTACGATCTTACTCCTATCTGACGAATTACCGATTTTTTTTTTTTATTGTTATATCCTAATATTTTTTACATAAAAAAAAAAAAAAATTCAAAACGATATAAATAATTGTTTGAGAAATTAGTTTGCTGAAACAAGGGTTGAACAGGGTTGATCGTTGTTTGTTTCCTTATGAGAGAAAGTAGTTCGATTTTACAAGCATTCTTCAGATGTTCGAAGAGGCAATCAAAAGGAAAAGGGTTTCGACTAAGAAAGACTACCAATAATTGTACTCTTTAGAACACCAACGGAAAGGCTTAGAGATCAAGAGCCTCGAACAATCCCTTTAGTCTACATTCAAAGCGAAGATCGTCACGAGCACTACCTTCAGGATACCGTGAACGGTGAAAGCGGATTTAGTAGATCAAGTACAATCGGGTAAGCGATTTGTGTACTTGGAAATTACACGGCGATTTAAATCGTTATTCTGCACCGTTCATTTCTTTAATCCTTCAATCACTATTTGTTTGACGGTCTTATTGGTAGAATTGCTCCGGGTCTATTTAGACCTGTGCAATATTTTTATTCATCTATTTATTTATTTAACGGAATGTGTATATGAATTCTTTTTTCAATAGTTTATAAATATATTTCTTTTACTTCTTGCTGTGTTAAATACTGAGTCATAAGACGAGTGCATCGAACGTATACAATAGTGCATAGGATGCATCGAAACGATGTACGATAGTTAATTAGTTCACAGGCTGGTCTTGAATGAACCCGGAGGCCGTTGAACAAGGTTATCCCTTCGAGGCTAAGACCTTACTATAAGACGATTACTAGAAGCTGAAACTTTCTTTCTATATCATACTTTTCCATTTATGTAACACGTAGATTACAGATTTTTCATACAGTCGCGTTTATTATTTTACTTTCGCACAACCTATACTTTGTAGTAGTTTTTCGAGTATCAATTTTTTAACCAGTTGCATACAGTGCGTTATTAATTGCATTACGTAGACGGTGTAGAACGCGTGCAGCGTGTTATCGATTGTAATGCACATATATTATAGAACACAAACAGTACGTCATCGATTGCATTGCACAGATATTATGGAACGTATGCGCTGTGTCATTGGCTGCAGTACATAAGTATTATAGAACGAATGTGGTGTATGATTAGTTGCATTGCACAAGCACGCGCATAATGCGTCGTCGATTTCATCGCGTAGGTATTGTAAAATGCACCCGAATCGTCACTGACTGCATTCCATACTATGTATCCACCGACGACAAGAAGTCTCGTCGGACTTCTTCGGTCGCATCGGTTGACCCTCTAGTTTTACACGAACCTAATTAGTAGATGCGATCACTTCGACCAATCATACGTCACGATCGAAAGTACGCGTGAGCTGAGGTGGGGCGCGGCCAATTAAATAGCATTATTCTCACGTGACTTTTTGTGATAGGTGGACAGTATGCAAATAGTGCAGCATGCACAAATGATCGATACAAATATAATAATCGACAAAAGGAAAACGATAAACACGTGGCTGAAGCGATTAAATTTGATTGAAATACGTTATATGTGGTTTCATTTGATGCAGGCTTTTTGTATAATATCAATGAATTTTTCAAATTATTAAAAAATTTCATTTGAATCAAAGTTTATTTCAGTAAGTCAGTTATTATATTTATTTTTTAAAATTGTTTCGAAATGGTTAGCTGTAAAAATTGCAAGGAACTTACCGGAGCTAATAGTCTCGGTAACAGGTTGCACGTGCAGTATTTTCTTGTTTTGCTCCAGTTTTCGCGTGCGCGTTCTCAGCACACTTTAAAGCCGCAGCCCTACGCGAAGATATCGAATGTACAATTGCGCACAGTGGTATGGCTGGTAGGGTAGAAGATTGCGGCGCATCGATGTGGCTCCGTTCGGTAAACCTACTCGCGTGCTAACCGCGTTAAAAATCGGTAACGGTATCGTTATTGTGGCCGGTTTACATTCGTTCAACGTCGGCGACACTCCCGGTAACTCCGCCGGAAACAGTTTTGACCGGTTCATCGTCTTTACCTTTATTAGCAGAGTCGAATGAACTCGTCCAGCGATTGTTGTTTCCCTCTGATGCAAAGAAGAATGATAGAAAATGATTAGATTTATGCTTCCTTTGATAAGTAATCTTTCATCATTTATTAGGTCAGTTCTGTTAATTTATCTATTTAAGTTGCAATTTTTTTTTTAATTTTAAACATCTTTTACCCATTTCGAAGACTCATTAGTGTCTAATTATTAATTTAAGTTTGAAAACTTTAAGGAGTTATTAATACCAGATTAAAACTTGAAACTTCGTTAAACTTTAAAATGAAAAAAATTTCGATCAATAATCAGGTCTTCTTGATTCTTCAAGATATATAAAATAACTTGCTAAGAGAAAATGCTGTTGTATTCTGCTCTTCTTTATTGTATTACATTTAACCCTTTTATGGTTAGCTCTGATCGTTCATCTTTGCTTCTTCATTGTCTTCTTTTAACGAGGTTGGTGTACGTAATCCACTTCTGGTTTCCAGTAACAATTGAGCCGAGAAATGCTTGATTTTCGTATCAAGATAATTCGAAGTAAAACACGCGTTACTTACCATTTTTAGGCGATGAAGTGCTCATTATTCTGACGTTGGACACTTCCTTTATTTCCTTAAAGTGACTGTGTGCAGTTCCGTGGGATAAACTGACCCTATTCGAGTTTTAACTCATTGTTAGTTCCGGTTCTGCTTTCGTAAACTCGATTAACATAATGCCATCAAACTCTGTGGAACATTTAGAACGTTATAACGGTGGCATACTTACAATTACTACTTGATCTTTGATATAATCTCTAAAAAATATCATACATAACAGCCATACCCTAATTCAGAATTTGTCAAAAGTTTTCAAAAATGTTTTTATTAAATATTGTGATATGAATACTGAATTTTGCTATAATTACCTATTTTTCTAAATGTCTGCAAAAAAATTTTTAAATAAAAAATAACAAATTGATTAGCTTGTTTAATCCCTTCATGACTTTTAATCTATTTTAATTACTTTAATTATTTCTAATTTCCCAAAATGAAGGAATTGAAACTGGTTACTCGCACAGAATAATCGTAAAGGAAATCCACATCCTTGTATTAGATGGAATGATTTGTTCAGGTATTTTCTGGAAGGAAACACGGCATTTATTTAATTCCGTCGAGGCAACCGATTTGCACAGAATCCGCCTGTTCTCGCTCGAGTTTCGTGATTTACAATCTTGCAAACTGTTAGCCGCTTCTCACCGATCGGATCGACCCTATGGCGTGCAATAAAAATACAAAACTATAATTAACTAGCTTCCTAGTGCAATGAGGAAGGATTAGTTAATGGCTGTTTAGAAGGCGAGCAATTCTATGCTTACGATGAGCCTTTCTGAATACCTGCAGGAAGGAAATAATAATCGTAACAAATAATAACGTCTCGTTCGAACTTTCTCGCATATTATCGCGGTGGGTAGCTTCTTTTACAATAATTCTCATACGTTACATTTTTCTTTAACTGACGCTGTAAAAAATGAAAATTTGTCGATTTATTCTAATTATTAAAAGTGAATAGGAATGGTTAATTTTCAAATTTCAATTACCATTATTAATATAATGGTAATTTTATTTTAATTATTCCTAGTCATTCAAGGTGTTAATGAAAATCATGCTCCGGTTGTTCGCTGACCAATCATTCCATCTCGTTTTCGTTTCACTCGGCAGTATGGACAAATTCAATTTTTATCAAAGTTTTATCGCGTTCAGATGGTGAAGTGTAACTGAACAACGAGTTCTGCTGGTAACGCGAGGTGCCAGACTTTCACGAGTATGAGTCTTGTTCACTGGATCGTATGGGAGATCTTATTTGATTACAGGCTGCGTTCTACCGAGCAGTGGTTACGTCTGATCGTGATTCATTCGTTTCGTACACGCGTGTACAATATGCGCCAAGTTTGCACCTATCGATCACTTCGTTTGAGAAAGTACATTGATATACTGGGTAATGCACATTGGAATATTAATTTTTTTTTCTGTTATTTATAGCACCCTTTGTTCGCGATGAGTGGCAGATATTTATACATTTATAGAATACCAGAACGTGAGTTCGTAGTTCTTCATTAACGTAATCAACAATGATAATTCAAAAAGGGTAATTAAGATATAATACCGCATACTAGTTTGGGTTTAATTAATTTAACAGTTTCATAAGAAAATGTATAGCACATTTTATTTTTTATAGTAGTTTGATTTTTTTGGTCCAATTCAGGTCCCACCTAAGTGTGGGTGATATTAAAGTCAACGTCTTAAGCAACCTCTTAGCATATTAATAAATAATGACTAGGAAATATAGAAAATTCTACATTATTTGTAAAGTAATAAAATTTGGGAAATGTCAATATTTTTAAAATAATAAAATTTGGAAAATGTCAATATTTTTCAAAATAATAAGAATTGGAAAATATCGATATTTTTAAAACGATAAAAATTGAAAAATGTCATTCTTTTTTTTAATCAATAACCATTGAAATGAAAATGTTCATTAATAGATGTACTTTCTCCAGAAGTTATGCAAATAGAAATTCGAGCAACTGATAAATTTCACTCGCTAAAGAATAAAAAAAACAGCTGACTGGTAGTTGCGGTTACATGGACGGGTTGCTTCTCTTTCCGTCCACCTACTTTCCGTTACAGATTCTTCGACTCTAATGAAAGGGTAAAATCGCGGTTCACCGTGGAATAACTTGGGCGATTTGTCAGGGAGGCAGGTGCATCCTGGCACGGAATATGGATTCGTTGTTTGGGTCGATCGTGTGCTACAGTTATACCGAACGGTTGTACGTGTACCACGCGGCCATGGCGTGCCGATAAGCTTTGCAAAATTTCGATTACGGAAGAACGAGCAACTAACCGCTGTCTCGTGATTCAGACCCTCGTAATTAACTTTGTTAAGAATGTTGTTAACTGCAACCAGGTCGGGACGAGTACTGACGAATCGTGATCGAACTAAGTCTTTCCCATCTTTCTAGACGAAACCGTAATTTATGGGAAGTTTAATTAAGTAAGGTGATCTGGTTGGTAATTTGCGAAATAGTTAAATGAAGCATTAATAAGATGATGATCAGTAAACTGCGAATATTTATGCAAATTTATTTTCTTTTGCATGTTTTTTTATAAAACAAGTGTACTGGATATGAGTCACCATTTATGTTTAATTTAATAGCGAGGTAAAGAGAGGGATAGAATTAAAAGTCATTTAATTATTAATCTCATAATTTATTTATATTAGGTGAATTCATTTACTCTGTTGAATTATAGTCAATTCTCTTATGTTTGATAACAAACTGTCAATTATCCATTACTCTAAACCTGTGCAAACTTGACATAATTAGAAACACAGTAGCCCTTTATTCTCAGCTAGCGACCGATCATAAATCAAACACACGTGCACCGTTCAAAGCGTAGTTTGAAGCACGCGATTAAACTTCCTTAAGATACATCATACGCGATAATGAGACGAGTAGATTTCGTTAACACAAGGCTTAATCACGCGATTTCAGATCATCTATTTCAGGAATCAATTGAATAACTAAAATTAAAAATCTGAAATGGAAGAAATACATTTAAAAAATAGAATCAACCGTTAGTAATTAGAGGCGAGTAAATAAATAAATTGTAAATTTTATCCATTCTTAGGAGCGAAATTAGCAGCGTCTCTGAACGCGAACATCCGGAAATGCGTAATCGAAGAACAGGACAAGATGCTTCGCCACAATTTTATAATAATATGTTGGGTGTGAATTCGGTGATCCGTAAGCCAATTAATTATCAAGACGATGAGCCGTCTATATACTAATATTACCTGATAAAACTTTGAATTTTGATAAATAAAAGTGCATTCCATTAAGATGTTTCGTTTTATTTATTGTTAAAGTTTATGCTTTTAATGTGTGTAATAGGACTAATAAGGATAATAGGAAATAATATTTCGTTTCAAAATTAACGAAAAAAATTTGAATAGGTAGATTATTTCTGTACACGTGTATCCGCACTTATAGCGAGTTCATCTGGTATGCATATCTGTAATTAATTCGTAGTGAATGGTATGCACGTATGAATAGTGCAATCAGGAACTGCAAGCGGAAGCTACTGTTCAGTGGTGAACGGAAACAGATCTAGCTTCGTTTCCGCACGAGTTATCATAAATAGTCAAACAATTCTACTACGTGAAGGTGTTAGATTTTTCTTATATGTACCTATGCCAGGGGTGGAAGCGGAGATTAGCGGAGGGCCGTACTTTTTAAAATGATTGCATTCATTAGTTAACTTTGCATTTCAGAAAGGTATAAATTGTACCATAAAAATCAATGTATTGACGTGAAAAATACGAAACGAATCTTGGGTCGCGCATGGGAAGGAAATCTCGGTTCAAGGCGGATTTTTCTCACTGTCTTGTGGCGGGCCACAAAAAATGTACCGAGCAAAGTGGGCTACCCTAAGAAATGGGGTAGGTAGAAGATGGCGTTAAGAATGGTGCGCTAAGTTTTATGGGGGCATTGCCATTTTCCCCTGAGGAAAACCTACTTGGGAAAAGCAAATGCAATTTTCCTTAATTTTCTATTTAATATAATATCTTTATATTAATTTTGTTATATGTTTTCAATATTAATTTCAAGTTTCATTATTATAGCAGATCAAATGTTTTCACTGACGCGTTTTTCTTGCACTTTCACACGAAAGCGTGTGTCCAATTTCTACTTAAAATGCTTTTATATATGCCGGCTGGAAAACAGGAATGGTTGCAATTAGTAATACCCAACTCGTTATGAAGACGCGCGCTTAATAGCGCATTGTCTTTTGCTGGAACTTGGCAAGTAGGAGGAACCCATCTCGCATACATTACGCGAACAACAGATTTTCTAATTTATGTTAATTTCGTGGTTATCGTTCCCATTGGGATACGTTGAACGTTGCTGCAACTGCACAGCTTTTCTTTCGCAAGTTTACTTTCGCTCGATCGATTCGATCGATCCGATTTCGTGGAAATTGGAATACGTATTGATTTTATTGAAATTATTTTACTCATACGCTGTAACGCCTTCGATGTTCAATTTAAAACTATAATCTTTAGTTTTGCATGCTTTTAAACAGATGAAATTCAAATTTATTTTATATTTTATTAAAAAGAGAGTGTATTATCAATATTTCATTTGATAATTTAAAATACACAGTCGTATAGTTGCACTAGGAACGAAGGGGTTAAAGAAAAAAATTCTAAACCAGTTACTGCAATATTTTCTAAGAATCTATGACTAAGCTTCTCCTAACAAAATATATGTATTCCCTATAAACGGTGCAATAAACGTGTTTGTGCCTAGAGCTTAAAAGCGTTTGTCGAACGTGTCCTACTTTTAGTATGCAAGAAAACGTAGGAGGTGTTCGTCCATGTCCCAACGATGGTATTAGAAAGCGTATTACACGGTTATGGACCTTTGTTTATCCCTCATTATCCAACCGACGATGATTACTCACTGGTAATTTAATTTTTTTTTTCGTTTTTAATGGATCTTTTACATAATCCCTATTCCTATACGTATTCAGGTTATGGTTTTTGAAATGTAATCCTTCGATACTTTTACTTGACGATGATTAACGACAATGTTTCGCTTAATTAAGTAGTCCAACTCGATCCTAGAAAGTAAATATACGTTCACACGGAACCTGCTTATGGTACGAATTTTTATGTAGGAAAAAACTTGTATTCCAGGGGAAGTTGAATAATCGAAGGAAATACGTTATCCATTTTTTTGTTTAGTGGTACGTAGAGTTGCTAGAATGTATTTTAAAATGATTAGAAAGACTGTTGCAATGAGGTAATTTTAATATTATTTATATTTGGAAATCTTCTGAAAATTACAATAATTATATAAAAAATTACTCCAAATACTGTAATTCAACCACAGTTAAAATTCTTAAAATAGAAATTAGAGAATGGAAATATCTGTATAAATTTAAATTAGTTTTAATTTTCATTAGTTAATTTATTATACATTTCGTTATCTTTTCAGGGTAATTAAGTAGTCATCAGTGATTGTTATTCAAATTTAATATTACAATAATCATAATAAACCCCCTCTGGGTGCGGGGGTATAAGAATAGACCCAGGGTAATTCCTGCCCGTCGTAAAAGGCGACTTAAAGGACAATCACTCACATAGGCCTGATCTCTCTTCATTATTTTTCACAATGCAATAAATAAAATAAATATTTTTCACGTTATTTTAAAAGACAAAGGCATTATGTTCTCTTGCGTTAAGTTCATTCGGTGCGTTGATTTATTGAGATTTTAATTAATGTTCTAATTAGTTACGTTCCGAAGAGTTTAATTATGAGGAATGATAATTACAAACACCTTCTATTCAACCTTCTCCGATATTTCTCTAGAGGTATCTTTTCATAATTGTTGTAGGTGATTTATACCATGCTTCCATTCTCTATGGTTTTCTTCATACCTATTTTATTGAATCGAATAAATAACGAAGATTAGCAATGAATCATAGTTATTTCTGATCAAACGTGCAAATTCAGAAAGGTTCTGAACACCATTCACTTGCATTCGTATCTGTAATTGCTTTCCATTTGTACCTATCTGTTTTGTATAAAATGAATTTTGATGTCTTTTTTGTAAACAAAACAGTATAAAGAAATTACAACGTTAAATTCCTTATATTTTAAGCAAAGTATTTTTTTATTAAAAGTAATATTAAATGGAATTTAAGAAGTCAGATTTTTAAGGGTTTAAAGTATTCTATAATTAATTTAATAATTAAATCCTCGAAATCATCATTTAGAACATCCTTTCATTCTTTCATCTAAATATACTGTTATATAAAGAGAAAGAGTTTGTGAGTTTGATTGTTTGTACCTGATGATCTCAAAAACTACTGGACCGATTTTCATGAAACTTTCACTGTTTGTTTCCTTATGATCTCTGGATGGTCATAGTCTATGTGTACTATTCTACTATCTCATTATGATTTAGAAAAAAAAGTAGATCATTGGGTTAAATTATTTTTGCATCAACATTGTAGTGCTGTGGAATCCCTTTTTGTTGCAAAAATATTTTCATAGAAATCTATTTCTTACAATAACTTAAATTGTGATAATTCAAAGAATACTAAAATTATTAAAAATAGATGGATTTGGTATCGAGGATTTTTGTATAATATTATAAAATTTGCATAAAGTTGCCAGTTTAGCAAAATTAAATAAAATCAGGTATTATATAAAGAATATTCAAGTCGCATGATAATTTACGATTTAACTTTTCATTTAGGATAAAGGGTTTAAATAACTTGTAAACATAGCGTCGAAACGTTTGTTCTCCAACTTTATCGTCACGCAAAGTGCAAATATCTGATTGTTCTTTACGTTCGAAACAATGATCATTTTTCACGCTCTTCGTGTCCAGCCTGTAACCACGGAATATAAGCTATTTGAAACTTAAGATGTTTGCCATAAAATTCTTCTAGATACAGAGCCACGTAAATTGATGCAGATGTTTGTACAGGTGCTTTTTAGTAACTCTGCTGGAGAACATAAATAGATACGCGGGGGATGTTGGTATTCCAGAATGGTCTTATGCTGATTTTTAATATAGGTATCACTAAGGTCAGAGTTGCAAATTGAAGGTAAATAAATGAAAAAAAATTAATTTTTTTAAGCCTCCATCGGCATACTATAGGGTTATCCAAATTAATTGTCACATCTTCAAATTGAAATAAAACGCAAAGTATTTGATTTTTGTATGGTTACTTTATTTTAATACAAAGTCTATTTTATGACATTAATTATGAAAAATAATATCAATCTTTTCACGAGGAGGAGACACCAATTGCCACCAAGATCGGGTGATTTAACACCATTAAATTTTTTTTTATGGGGTTTTTGGAAAGTGAAGTTTACGCCAATAATCCAAAGACTATTGACGAGCTGAGCAACAAAATCACAGTCGCTATTGATGAAATTGAATTCCACTTGTGTGAAAATATAATGAAAAATTGGGTGAAACGCATTAGGCTCGTAAAAAAAGCCGAGAAGGACATTTGAATAATATCGTCTTCGATAATTAATGTCATACAGTAGACTTTGTGTTAAAATAAAGAAACCATACAATTTGAATTTTATTTCAATTTGAAGATGTGACACTAAATTTGGATAACTCTATAGAAGGCTTTCAGGCGAAATTTTCATTTTTCAGAACTTGCCTTCGCGTTTTTATTTTTATTACAAGGAGGTTTATTGAATGTTAAATTAGAAACTTTAATGAATATCTCAAAATTTCTTCAGATTTTTTTCAAGTCTAGAACAATATAAAATCAGATCCGAGAATAAAAGATCGCGTTAGTGAAAAAGAACATTGCAAATGGAGGGTCAAGTATCTGCAAATATCCTAGATCTAAGTGATCCAAGCAACATTGAATAATTCCGCTGGTTATTTATAAATAATTTATTAGAAGAAGAAAGCGATGACCACGAATTCAGTTGGCGGTTTAGTAACAGAATCCAAGATCGAAAGTTTCAACGTAAAGGCGGAACGTATAGTATAACAGGAAATCCTTCCGGACGAACCCTTCGGTTACGCGTCTGGTTGACTGGTGGACGAAAACGCCCAGTAGACGTATGGTAAATATACGCACGAGTGTGTTTATTAGTGGAAGCTAGGAAGTTTCACCGACACTTTCAGTGGTTGGCCGCTTCAGAGCGGTTTGCATTTCACTGGTGAAACTCGCATGGAACGTATCGTCGAAACAAAATGTTACCAAGCCGGACACACGCCTTAGCTTTCCATCATCTTCAGCCTTTGTCCTTGCCGAGCTTGCATACACGCGTCAGCCTATATTCCATCTCTAAATACGCACTCATGCGATCTAACCTTTTACTTTTCTCGTTGCTTCTCTCGGGAGAAAATGTGTGCCAACCTTATTTTATCTAATCACCGCCTTACATTCGTTCGCTTTTATTACAGTATAGTAATTACTGGCTCGCGATTCGCAACTTTCGTTTCGTTTAATTTTGCAACTCTACCATGTGGAATTCCTGATTATACTGCTAGGTTGATTTTTCGATAATTTCGAACAATTTGTTGCATGAAATTGCAATCTGTTCCCTCCTTAACTCCTTACTTTATCATTTATGGAAATTTAATGGAATGGAAAATTGGTTTTCCAGAAATGGAACTTGGAAGTTCCATTTGATTGTCAAAGATTAAATTGAGACTTAACTCGGGATGCAAACGTGATTCCTTTTCTTATCTTTGAAATTGAAGATAATGGTGCTTCAGTAATTTATTGGCAGAAGAATTCCCAGCTGCATCAGAACTTGGCAATTTTGGCGATTCTTCTGCACTTCCATAGTTGATTAAGCCTTTGGGGACGATAAACCCATAACTTTTTTATGCTCTCATAAAAAGAGACTTGCTATTATTGGCAGAGAGATTCAGCTTATGGCAACCTGCCAACTGATCAAAAAGGTAAAAATTTCTTGGCAAGTATAGCTTGTTACTCGATAGAAAAGAATTGAACATCCTTTTATAGATGACTAGTAGTACCCATGGGCGCTGCCCACGACAAAAAATTATTGACGCCTCCTTTTTGGCCTCTGGACAGTACCACGGACCAAAAATTGCAATTTTACTATTTTTCGCCAAATTTACGGTAGGTAAGCTTTTAAATGACACCTTAATCGTAATCGCAGGACACGGGCCGGCTGAGTTTGCTCGTTGGAACACCTAAGTACACTTTACATATAGATTTGGTTATAAACAGTATAAAATAAAATTTCTGAATCAAACTGTAGTTTGGTTTTATCAACAGTTAATTAGCGATAAAGTTAATTAGAAGGTCTAATGTGTAATTAACGATAAGTTGCAATGTCAGTGCCTCTTGACGTCATAAAAATTCATTATACAAGAAATAAATATAAATGAATCGCGGTATAAGTCATTATGATTTTGTATTTAAATAAAAATAATGAATAAGCTTTGCATCGAAACTCTATTCTTAACAGGTACTAACTCAAGTTCACAATTGAATTTCGTTCTGCACACGTGCGTTTATATCACAATGGTGCTTTCTGTGCATTTCAGAAGTGTTTTAATAAGTCGACGTAGAGTTTAAACGCTCTTAGAAATGCTTACAAGTTCAGTTATTTAACATGACGCTCTTCAATTACTATACAAAGTTCTGCTGAGCACTTGAAACTTCGTTTCAAAAGGATAAATTTCCATATATTTACATCTTTGCCTTGTTGTAATATTAATACAAAACAGCAGTTTATGAATTGCATTTAATTCCAAAATTCAGCAAAAATATAATGATGTAAGCAATGGAAAATCTTTTTATGCAATATTATATTACCGGTGTTAATAAAATTAATTGTTACTTAATATTCTACTAATTAACACCTCGGTTGCCATGTTGGTCTGTTATTTCGATATGCAATAATTTCAATAATTATTTTTTATTGATGCAATGACTACCGAGGGTTAACAATTATAAAAATTAATATTTTTATTGCCGTGATCTGAAATTTTATTTGTTCACGGCAGAAAGTAAAGTATACTATTGTAAGGGTAGAGAAAATTGATGGATCGTGCATCGTCGTCCTAGACGTCTCGCGGTTTTGCACTTTCTCATTTTATGAGACATGCAAAAGCAACACGAAAAGCTATCCATGTTTGACATACTTTCCATGGGAAAAATTTGTACCACAATTCTTTGACGAGAAATTGATCTCAAAAGAGACAATAGAAAAGTCTTCACTGCGGTTTACTCTCGCTATTCCTTCATTTCCTAAAATCATGAAAATTTAACTTTTATCAGTCATATATTTCAAATATTGAAATCAATGTTTCTTGAAGTAATTGAAGGGTTGAAATAATATGTTTCGTTGGAAGATGCAATTAATTTATACTTAATTGGTTGCTGTGCTGCTTTATTTGGATCTCGAATTTAGGGCGCAGACATCGTTCTGACGTATTTAGTCCGTGGACATTTTCATCTGGTTAAAAGTCTATTTCTGTATGTCAAAGTAACCATGAATTAGCAATTCATCTCGACGGGTCATCGTAATTCCTGCACCTTACAGTTGCTGCATTCCGTTTCTCCTCGTAAAACTGTTGTATAATGATTCTTTACGCCTAGTAGCAAAGTTAATGGTGCATTTTTTTGCTAAATTCTTGCTCCTAATTATTGTGATTAAACACCGCTTCTTTTTGTTTTCAAAATTCAGAGTGCAAGGTAATTTTCCTAATACAAACCTTGTACAAAAATTAGTAGAAATTATGAAATAAAAAATTAACACCAAGCATTATCATTCATTGAATAATTAGCATCTGCTAATTATCAGCTTTTTGCATTTTTTTAATACCACTGATAATTGTTGGAAAAGTTTAAGAATTTAAACGTGATTAATAAGGCACTGTAAATATTTAAGTGTTTCGTTATGCTAATTTACATACTTTTTGCAAAAGGAACGTCTAATTTAAAAAATTAAATTTTTATAGAAGTTTTCATAATCTATCTTTTTGCTATATAAATATACTTTTTAAATATTATACTTCAGTGATTTCGCGTGGAATGTCAATGTAATTACAATTCGAACCTCGTCTGACCGGAAATGCGTACAAAACTCGATGAAATAATCAGAAAGTATGCTGACTCAAGGATCGGCGAACAGGAAATGTGACAGTAGAACACAATTTTTATTTTTAGCTTTTCTAATGAAATTTTAGTTTCATCGATGGAATATAAACCATGTTATCATTTGTCCTATTTCGATCAGACTATATTTTACGACTTCTTCTCTAAATATGTAATTTCTCTTAGAAAATCTTTCAACTGATGGAAAGGATGTTACAATTTCCTATGATTCCTTGATAGAGAAATGCGGTTTCTTAGAAAATCGTTCGAAGTGATGGGAAAAGTGTTACGGCAAATGAATCTCGATAATATGACGATAGTTGAAGAATTCTTTTTAACATTGAACCTACTTTTAATTTAACAAATCATATTCTTTAATTCCACTAGAGCTCTATCTCAAAACGTTTAAAAAAAAAACCACACAGAACACTTTCCACTTTACTAATCTTTGTCTTAAAAAAAAAAAAGAGAAAAGGAGGGGGAAGGAATGTTTTACTTCTCGAATAAGATAGAAATAAGATCAGTTGATTTAAATGTTAACTCTCTCTTAAGAAGAACTTTAAAAGAAAGAAATATATTTAATCACGAAAGGTTTAATAATATAATTAATAAAAATGTTGCACAATTTTCGAGGAGAAAAAAAAAAAACTTGAAACGTTGGCAACGAATCTGAATCACGCGATCATCTTCCTAATTTTTTTCTTACTGCTAGCATATTGCATACACGTGTCGTGTTTTATAACTCGATTACTTGAACAAACACGCGGGAGTCTCTGTTTAACGCCTAATCTGCATCGGCATTACGGAAGCGCGAAGGCGTAACTCCTTTGCTGTTCTTGCGAAACTAGTTTCCACTGGACAAGATCAGGGCTATTGGTAGATCGATTCACGATTTCGAGGTTACACGGTGGATAGAGGTAGATCTGAAGAGTTGTAATAAATAATTGAACAGAGTCGAGGGGAACGAACATTATAGAACGGCCATAGACAACTCTATGGATCGTGGGAATTCTATTGCTTCAGGTGATGCAGTTTTTCTTATGTTTCATGAAAATGCAGTATTCTATTAAATGACCAATTTCGATAAATGAGAAAACTGACGTGATTCGATGACATATAAAAGTACATATTACAACATAGCACTTATGGCAAATTAATTTGCATTTTTTTTTCATTATCAAATTATGTCAAACTCCTAATAAGTGGTAATCAGTCCTTTTATATTAGCAAAATTATTGAATGCTTTATAACTTAGATTATTATGCCATAAGTGCTATTTTGTAATACTTTTATATTATCAGTGTTCATAAAATTTCTGTTTCAAAATGGACTATTTGATATGATAAAACCTTAGGCTTAAATTAAAAAGTAATTAATTCATTTACGTATTGAAAATTGCTTCAGAAGAGTCGTACAACATACATAATTTGTTTACTAAGAGATTCATTTTTAAATTTAGTTTTTTATAAAATGATCTATTATCGAGAAATTTCTATACCGTGGAGCATAAAAAGAATGAAAAATAGTCTAGTTAATAAACAGTTGGCTAACGGATAATGAGCTAGTACTGCGATCGTTTCCCTATGGAAAATGTTTTTCTTTGGTCAGCGAGCACGCGTATCGATATCACAGTGATTTACTGAAATAACACGTTGTACGAAGAATGCAAGAAGTCCTACTGGTTTCCGTGTACAAATACCACGCTTGATGGTCGCATAGCCTCGTTAATTCAGAGGATCGAGGTTTGTTTCCGAACAAACGTTCTGCAAATGGCTTGTAACGTTGCATTACACGTTCAATTCCATTGGAGCGTAGTGGAATTTGTTTGAGCCAAGCGACGCGGAAAATGCATTATACCGAAACGAATTAAACTGATAATTGGGAAGCTGATTCACGAATTTTATAAAGTAAAATTCTTCAAATCTTTCTAAATATTGTAAATTTCAATGTTAACCCATTGACTGCCATGGAAATTATCGGTGACATCCACAATGTAAAAATAGTAATTAACTGTAATAATTCATAAAGTGCATTAATTATCCTTCGTTAACACAAACTATGGTTCTTTATATTTAAAACAATCATCCAAAGAGAAATTAAAATATCATGATTTTATGATGTTTCTCATTTACAAGAAATTGGAGCAAATACACCGTTAACATTATTTATTATACATTTAATTATTCAAAGCAAATGAAAGAATCTGCCGTTTGTTATGAGAATAATAGAAGTTTCTCATACCTAGTTTTCCATTATCATATGCCTCAGACGAATTGCATTATGAATTTGTATCGTGTTTCTCAGAATCTTCTTAATAATTAAATTTACTGTGCATCTACAAAAAAAAATTTATAGAAATAATATGAAAAAATTTCTAAAGTGACTCAATATTTATGTCTACTGAGTGAGATGATAAAAGTAAAATATAACTTGATTTACGTGACGTGGTTTTAAATTTAATATATTTTATTGTAGACAGAGTGCAATATATTGTGAACTAATAAACTGCATCACTATAAGAAGCAGATCGTACGGCCTACTTATGTCGAGCCTTGTTAGTAAATGGGACGAGTGTGCTTCGAACTGTCACTCAATGTGATGCATTTTAATTTATCTGAGTCGTAAAAAATCATGAGGATCCATCGAGTATATAAGAAACATTAACGTCATATCGTTTTTTATGCCAGCAATTGGGACGAGATCTTTATAAATTTAGAATATATTCCCGTAAATTTACGATTCAGGTTTTTTCAGAACGGTATAAGCCGATATTTATATGTACATTATTTCGTGTGGATTAAGAAAACAGAAATAGTAACATTGGCGTTTGGAAAGTTATGCAAAAACGAAGAGGCCTTCACTAAAATTTCCTTTCAAGAAATAAGATTCCGACGTATAGGTATGTTAAGAAGGTTTCAAGAAATTTGTAAAACAGTTAAATTACAATAAAAACTTGTTAATTGTTCACGACCCGTGTTCGTCAGCAATTATTGAATTCGTGGCAAGTTTCTCTTCCAGGAATTACCTGAGCTTAGCTCGTGCTAATCCGACCTTATCACCGACAGATGAAAACGACAGAGAATAAGAGGAAGTGAAAGAACAAATCTCACGGCTACCAGCGCACGTGCTCGATGAGTCACCATTCTTACATACAGGGTGTCCCAAGATAATTACACGACATAAAAACTGCATATTTTGATTTGAAAGTGATTTAGAAACAAGCTAATATAAGTTTTAATTATTCAATATTATAAAATTTAGTGTATACCAAAAACAAAGTAAATGATAATTCAAATTTTCCCGCGTAATCGTGTATACGCAATTGGTGGTCCGCCACAGACCTATATATAGGGCGCCTCCTCCCCTGCATCGTCATTCTTCTCGGGAGCGCTTAATGGGAAAGATGGGAGCCCAGGGAAGGAGAGATTTACGACGAGGGTCAGAAATGCCGAAAATAAAAAAAGGAAGCCTTATCTAATATTTGTCAATTTTCTATACACTTCGCGGAGCACATTTTTCTTCCTAACAAATTATTGAGTTGAAAGGTTATCTAAAAGCTTTTGGGGTCGCTGATCACGATTCTGATGTCAGTATTGCAAAATATAAAAAAAACTCAATTTTTGGAAAATTCAAAATTTTTTTCGAGAAATTTGGGATGCGAATAATTCTGAAAACATATGTTATCTGAAAAATTTTCAGAGCTGTAGGACTTTTCGTTAAAGATTAACCGAATTTATTCTAAAAAAAAAGAGTTGTTTGTATTTTAATTGCTTACAACTAATTATAAGTAAACACATTTATGCAGCTTTCCATGAAAATTATATAACTTGGAACCCCAAGAGAAAAAACTAAAAACAAAGGGTTAAAATTATTGATACGATATCCTTAAGAAATTATAAAATTCACAAAGATGAGAATGAAAAGAATCACATGTTGGTCCAACAAAGAGCCGGTTCCGCCGTTTGAGAGTTAACACGATCTGATGGTTGGACAAGAGAAGAAACGGACCGAGAGATTATGGACATCGTTAGATAAAAGCGTGTACGAAGGACGATAATGTATGCAAGTCAGGTACTAAAGTTCCCGGCAACGCCCGCTATATGCTCGGCCATGCATCAGGCTCGCACGTGGCTGTAAAGGTAAATTCAGCGTCGACCGGGCGTCACGAAAATCGAAGGGCACCATACACTGGTGAATGTAATTATGGTGCAACGGGTTTCGATTATTGCGAGAACCTTGGACCTCGCCGGTCGTGTTTCGTTTTTTGCTTTTAACGTGATTAATAATGCTTGGAATTTCACTTTTTCACGTAATCTATCGCTCGTAAACCAGTACAACTTGACGTACGATCGTTGTAAAACTTACTAATTATATTGCACTTTTTGCTTGCGTGCAATTATCTGAGAAATATTTTTCTTTACTTTCAAAAAATTCATTGAGGTAAATAAGAATTTTCTGTACTGGATAAGGGACCAACATGTATGATTAAGTTAATGTACTTCGTAGTTAATAAGGTAGTGATTGATGCGACTTTAATGATTTATAAAAAAAATTTTTTTTTCAAGGTTTTCTTGAAATTGTTCTTTTTAATAATATAAAATATAATTCATACTGGTTACATTATTTATAGGATGGTATTAGGCTGTTGTACATCAAACGTTGGATTTCGAAACATAGAAAGTCTGACATAATTTGATGACATAAAAGTATCGTAAAATAACACTTATGGCATATCAATTTAAAATTTAAAGTCCAATAAAAATGACTATATAAATTTTCGATATTTTTAATTGAAAATGACTAATTCTTCGTTTAGACAGATAATTGATATTGTTCAATACCGAATATCCAATTTTCAGTGTATTATATTTTGAAATAGCACTAGTCAATTTGTATTAAAAATATCGATGGAATATTTATACTGTTATTTCTCAAATTTATGTACCATAAGTATTATTTCATGATATTTTTATGTCATCAGGAATCTGTCATTTGGTATACAGTTACACGTATAACATATGGAATTTCGACTTCTTAGTGCAACAAAACGAGAGGACTTATTTTATCATAATTTTTACCCTGTCCAGGGAAGTTAATTTTTTTTCGTTCCACGCGATGGTAGCTCGTTTGAATAATTCATACATTAGTTTTGCACATGGTTTTAAAGACACCTTCACACTGTGACGGATCGTAGGCGTTGCGGAAATAAACGAAGTGTCGACACGTTGGCTAAAGACCGTAAAGTATCACCACTCGATACTTGCAATTCTCGTTTGCGAACGAATATCTATCATTCTATTTTTAAAATTACATTTAACACATTTTTCTTTCATTTAAAAGCGTTCCATTATCGTGGAGGATTTAAATCATTATGGAAATATGTATCTCTTCTGCGAATTTGATATTTTTAAACACACCTTGACACTTCTAAGTACACACATTTTTCTTCTCCGTCTTTTCAATCCGGTGATAATAAATTTCTTGTACATTGCAGTGTTTAAATTATACATAAATTGGCTGGCCAGACGTAAACATTGTCGGGTTGCAATCCTCGAGCTCTTTTGCTTACTCATTTCTTATATACTTACAAAATATAAAGTGTGGAAAATAAATCTTAAAATTATTTTTCTTTTCTTTTTTTCTCTTGTATGAATAGCGTTAATATTCATAATGCTAAGATTTCATGATTTTTTAAGAAGGGAGGCATGGTAACACGAATTTATTAAAATTTAAAATTAGGATTTCTTCTCTGTTTCTCTGGATGAAAGTATTTTCGATAGCCCGAAATTATTGTTTGTTTTTACTCCAACTTTTGTCCTTGTTTCGTTTACTGTTTAAGTCAAACTACATTAAATCGCTTCTGCGAAGCTTCTGACGATCTTCGGCTG